ACTCTGTTTCCGGATTTGGCTTTTTTTCATTTGAAGATGACCCACACTCCAACTACCCCTCTACTGGCAATCTTGCTGCTCTACCCAGCGCCACTGAGATGGATCTGGACAAAGTAGTCGCTATTTGTCAGAGCATATCCGACTTGTTAAAGATGATGGAATGTAGACATCTACGTAGAGTCGTAAAGATTTTAAAATATGGAATTTGTATCTCACATGCTCTGTGCCCGAATCAGCTCCGAACACGATCTGACATCATCATGTTCCTTTTGATTTCCTAGAGTTCCTTCAGTGATCGTCCTGCATATTCACCAGTATTGTAGAATGGGTGGAGTGTGACAGGAGAGACACGACTTCCTCTAAGCTCGACACTTCTGGAATGTTAGTGAAACACGAAAGGAACCTTGCGCTGGGAACCGCCGCCCAGTAATACTAGGGTCAGTGAAGAAGGCAAACGTGGACAGCACAGTGGCAACGTGTTCAATTTGAAAGCAAAGCAAGACAAAGTCGGCTTTTTTCTGAGGTCGTTCGACCCACCTTGGGTAGATTATTCATAAAAAGTTGGCGACTCTCAGGCTAACAGTCTTTCAGCTTCGTTGTGTAGCAATATCATCGTACCGGGTGCGTGACGATTCAATCGTGGCAGTAAGTAGGTCGCCGCGCGGGCCGCCGCAGCCAGCAATATCGCGGCGAATTTGCAAAGAACTCAGCATCCAAACATTGGGGAATGTAAGATTAGATGAAGTTTCCCAGTCATGAAACATGGAATAGGAACCACCTTAACCCTTTAAAATGCAGTTTCTTTTCGCTTGCCATTATTACAAACTTATCCTATCATGCTTATGTTAGAGCCTTCCTCACCGTTCCTCTGTGTCTTGGAACGCAATATTCTTTCGATTGAACCAGATTATCACTCTCTGATAGAAATTCAGGCAGCTGATTAATAAAGAAGTCAAATTAAATTCAAAAGGACAACCTTTACATGGTACAACCTTTGTACTGTGAGGCTTAAATCACTGCGGAGATCTTACAGTGACGCTTGCTGGCTTACTGATGTCCAGCACTCTGGTCTTATCAGTCACCTAGCCAACTTATGGACATGGATGGATAAGAAAAGGTCCACACAGAAATCGCCGCACCAACTGCCGCGCGCGACGATTCTCGCCGCGTGAGCGGCGTGACCTCATTAGCCGACGATTGAATTGACCGTCTCCTCATCGTACCAGCTAAGGACAACCTTGCCTGAGCTCTAGCACTCTTCTCCAAGAAGAAATTTACGCTAAGTGATACGACCTCAAACCCGACTTCCAGTCCTTCTTCGTTCAAGAGCTCCCGCAGTTTCAGAGGAAAGACAGCGACTAAATTCCCATGAATAGGCAATACATTATATATGATAAAATGTATGCACGCGTCGCAGCAGTCGTTAGGAGCTGATTTTTTGATATGATATAGGGGGTGGGACGGGAACATATTTGGTGGGGGTCACCAAGTGATAACGACTGATAAGAGCAGATAAGAGGCGCTGAAACACAAATTTCACGAAATTCATAGTGCGCTCGTCAGGAGCTGATTTTGGGGCATGATATAGGGGGTGGGACGGGAACATATTTGGTGGGGGTCAAAAAGTGATAACGACTGATGAGGACTGATAGTAACGATATGCGTACGAACGTAGAGAGCACTTATAGAAAATAAACCAGATTGTAGATAATGCCTTTCATTTCAATATCATTTCATCAGCGTTGTAATTGTAAACTCCTTTCGACCGCTACACCTTCTAGAGTTCTTGAGGATGAATGGGATGCTCGAATAAATATGATAATGAATACTAGGCATTCCGTTTTGAGATATTCGACCGCTAAATTACCTCGATACTCGACGCATAGTGGTTGTTTACATCATCACTTTAGCTGTGCACTTCACTGCGCTTATCAAACAGTGAGATACAGCCAAGATGGGCAGCCTATGCAACGGACAGTAATACATTTAACGAAGCAGCTATAATTTAGCGGTGAAACCTAAAGCTTCATCGATTGTCAGTTCTATCAATGCGCGCGGTAGCGGGCGGAGCTAAACTGGTACATTACAAGATGACAGAGGTGTATGTTTGGATAAGCGAGGACATCGAATAAAAAGGAAAAAAATTGAATTCAAAAATATCCAAAGCCAACCTAATACTAATGATGGAGAGTAATGTTCAAACTGATAAATCAAGCATAAAGTAGGCACATAAATTCTGAGCCACTCTGGCTGCTTTTCTACTTTCACATTTTAGGCGCTATCGCAAGATGTGGAGGCGTACTCAAAGACTAAGCCTAGAAGCAGGCAGGAGCTCCTGAGAAAACGAAAACTGCTCATGCCTTTTAGAGCCTCTCCTCGCCACTTCTGAGGCTCAGCCCTTTTTTTGGTAGAAGGAGGTATTTTACGCGGTTCTAAATTCACTGACCCTGCTATGCTCCCGTATTTCGCGACAGCGCTTTTTTTATTTCTCTGATATGGTTGTACAACATAATATAACCTACAACCACAGTGCGTTTCATAATTATAAGCTTACTCTTAGAAAATGAATATTACATTATGAGAAACAACAAACCTGACTGTGAAAATGAATATTTGTTAACAACACATCCAAATTTCTAGAATGTTTCGTATTCGTATTTTGAAGAAAAGGCCAGGTTTGCATTTTGTGGTGCTCTGCACGGTTCTTGAGACTGTGCAAAGCAGCTTGGTAAATCTTTGCTCTATTCATATACTACTATATACTTTATTTATATTGAGGAGCTCCTATGCCTCTCTACAAGTTCCGAACGTCCACAAAAGTTTTCTATATTTGATTAGAGAAGATTTATGAGGGCCGCCCTCAAACAGTCTTCTTCTCGGAATCAGGGTCGCTTGTAATTCAATACTCGTCTCAAAAAGTATGAAGTGAAGAGCGGTGAGAAGAAGCAGCAACACTGCTCGACAAGAGACAAAGATAGTGTGAAGGCTTACTAGCCAATTACGAGGAGAGACTACTCCAATCCGTAAAGATGAAACTAGAGTGAAATTGGTTAAATTTGAGCCTGCATCACAATCGCACCACGTAGTCGTAGTTAACAGAGCCTTGCAAGGACATCTGATCTCTCTCTCTCTTAAGCCGACAAAGTCGGCTACCTTACGTATTTTTACAAAATTACACAAAGCAGCAGAGACACCCATGTTAGTCACTCAACCAGAAGCAGCATTCACTCTCAAAACCCAGATGATCTGGAGGTTATTCTGAAGTTCTGGTCGTATTTCGGTAGAATATCTCAGAGCATCTTTGTCATGGAGAATAATGCGGATAAGCGCCAGTTAGGAACTACACAAGAACTTATACAAGCAACCTTGAAGTAGGCTGGAGGCTGTTTGGTGTTGCGCCTAATAACGGAGGGATCGTAGATTATCACACCTTTCTTACGTCGGTTCATTAATCCTAGGTGATTGCCCTCTTTCCCAGGGCGACCTTATGATTATGAAGCGGTGCAAAAACAAAAAAAAATATAAAAGCAGCTCCCGCCAGAATTGCGATGCAGGGCTTATCCACGCTGAGGAATAGTTTGGCGATACAGGAGAGATTCTCCCTCCCCGGCTGTCCGCTGGTTCCGGAATGCAAAATCTCAGGGACCTTATAATTATGAAACGCACTGCATTAGCAACAGATCGCCAACGCTGGGTAGGTGTACAATACCTTTGCGCAGCATTCCAGTGAATTCTTGACGATGAAGAATCAAAAATCGATTCTAGCGTCATGGTGATTAGAGTAAGATTCCTTCTCCAAAGTTGAAATAGAGGGAAGCAAATAATCGTTAGTTTCCTCGTCATAATCTGACCCTGGTATTATTGGTGCGTGTTCCCAGCGTGAAACTCTATCAGGTTCTACTAACATTTACGAAGTTCTGGAACTGAGAAAGATTTGGCTCTGCTGTCGGAACTTCCAAATAGTTTGAACCAGGCTGTGTACTTGTAGAACATGGCACTCATTCCGCATCACCAGTAATTACGCTGGACGGTCAATCGAAGAAACCGTGGGAAACCAACAGGACCATGACGATGTCAAATCATGTTCGGAGCTTTTTCGGGTTCAGGGCATGTGAGACATAAACTCCATATTTCACAATTACTAGGAAACGTCTTAGTACTGTCACATTGTCGCATCAGATTGCTCTGTCAAGTAACGTCTCGTATGTCGAATTCCTTACCATATCTTCCTTGGGAACTATATGATGCATGATTGTGGACTGATCGCATTGTCTTATGGCATTGTCAGAATCTACCCATTCTCATTACAATACTGTACCTGTGATTAATATTTCCTCTCTCGGCTTGTTTTTCTGGAGTTGTGGTCTATTTGATTACAGTTCCAGCGCAGATATTCTGCGTCTATGATTGAACAAATGAAATGAATAAATAAATAAATAATAAATAAGTAAATAAATAAATAATAGATAAATAAATAAACAAATAAATAACTAGCGACGGGTAGAACATCAATATTGCAAGTCACGGGGTAGTTGAAGTGTGGATTTTTCAATTGTTGATCCTCTTTATCGCCTCACTTTTGAAACAGCCTAATCGGTTGCTACGAAGAAAGAGGCCCAGGAAGGAGTTCTGAAGAAAATGGAATCTTAGCTAAAGGAAAGCAACAAGCAAATGAGGTGGCTAGCTTCTCGGATAGGTGAGCTTGTGTGCTACGCTGTAAAGCATGTTGGAAGGCTTCAATAAATCTTAAAAGACCCCAACAGCAATAATGTAAAGTGGCTCAAGAATTATGTGCGGAACTAATGATCCTCTTGAAATAAGCAGCATCAACTGACGATCACAATATTGAGGGCACTATGAATACAACTCAAGGTGCCAGTCAAATCTGGCGATCCAGCAAACTCTGCGCGTGTTACAGCAGCGATTCACAACAGTACACCACTAACGCCCAATGAGGAAGCAGTCTGACTGAACTTACCGCAGACATCCTGCTCCATCACAACATCTTCGGAATCTTCTTCAGAATCGAGAATTGCAGTTTGCCTGAACCAAATTCGTCTCCGCACCAAGTACTTAGTTTCGATTCAGTGTCATCTTTTTTAAAAAATTTCAAAACAAAAATTACAGTGTGAAATGGTTCCACCAAAGTTAAATAGAGTCCACGAACCCAAACTGGTGTACTCAAAATAGAACGAAATCATGGAAGTAATGAGTAGTTTGACGGCTTATCAAAGACAGTACCTCTCCTCGGGTGTTTGCGAGCTAGATCCATTCCCAAGATCCTTGAATAGTTGTTCTGAATCGGTGTTGTTTTCATCACTGGTATCACCGAATATCGCAACTAAAATGATCACTAACTGGTATAGTCAACAAGCAAATCGCTCTCAGTAATGATGTCAAAATCCTACGACGAAACCCGAAGCCCTTATGGAAATGGAGACCTACTCATCGCATTAATAACCACTACATACCATTCTAAATAGAAACTAGACAGGCCGAGTCCCAAAAAATGATCAACGGCAAGTGATTTGTCTTTTATTACTTTTAAGTTGTCCCCACAAATCTCAGATATGGTGATAATTTTTTTTGACTCCTTTAGTAATAACACTAATATGTACTCCAGCGCTATTGCTGTCATAGCGACTTCGGTAAGTCATAATGGGTCATTAAATGGATTCTAATGACGGCCGTTAATGTTATCCTCAGCTAACAACCATTGCTGTCATCCTTTTCTTGTCCACCCAGCGACCGAAAAATTGGCGCAAGCTTATAAACGCTGCAATAGACGAGCACAAGTGAAAGCTTCCAGACAGCCTGGTTACGTAAATCAACGAATTGTAGTCAGCACGTTCAATACTAAAATGTGGCCGGGGATTACGGAGTTTATCGCTACCATAAAAAGTTAGGCAGGATGATCGGAGAGGTCGAAGACCTGAGAAAACAACCTTGAGAAAAGAAAAACCTTGCATCAAGCACAACTGAGAAAACTGATATATCAGAGAAAGGTACATTGTAGTATGAGTCCATCCCGTTCGTTCGACGGCAAACAAAGAAATATGGTTTAATAACAAAAAAAAACTAAGAAGACACAGGTTTACACGTTGAACTTGAACATCATGCGATACTTGGAAGCGCTCGAAAGTCGAAATACGAAAATCGGAAGACAGAATACGGAATGGAGATCGTATTTCATTATTTAGGAAAGGAGTAAACTACACTGCTGTTAAACGATATATTGGGTTGGAACTTGATATCGATACGTTTCAAAAGTTGCTCGAGCGGAGTTCCGAGACCGACCTTGCACAGTCCGCCCAGTTCTGAGGCGAACTTTACGATGAGAAGTCAACCATCAAAAATAAAGGTGGAGGCGGTTCCTAGTGCAGAGAGGAAGAAAAAATCATGAGAAACGACCTAGAAGTTGAGAAATGGGACTCCTTTACTGATCTATTTCCGCATTGATGCAACTCTTACCGCATTTCCCTCCTCGACGACAAGCTCTCTCTATCCATCTGCTAAGCCAATGTCACACTTTACTGGATTTGCTAGCGACTCGCCCGGTTCGCTAGCGATTCTCGTTCGATTCGTAAAGTCTAACAGCGGCCCTAAACGGCCAGAGAGAGATGGCGAGGGATTACCTATCGACGAGCGTGCAGACTGACTGAACTTACCGCAGACATCCTGCTCCATCACAACATCTTCGGAATCTTCTTCAGAATCGAGAATTGCAGTTTGCCTGAACCAAATTCGTCTCCGCACCAAGTACTTAGTTTCGAATTCAGTGTCATCTTTTTTAAAAAATTTCAAAACAAAAATTACAGTGTGAAATGGTTCCACCAAAGTCAAATAGAGTCCACGAACCCAAACTGGTGTACTCAAAATAGAACGAAATCATGGAAGTAGTGAGTGACTTGACGCTTATCAAGACAGTACCTCTCCTCGGGTGTTTGCGAGCTAGATCCATTCCCAAGATCCTTGAATAGTTGTTCTGAATCGGTGTTGTTTTCATCACTGGTATCACCGAATATCGCAACTAAAATGATCACTGTGGTATAGTCAACAAGCAAATCGCTCTCAGTAATGACGTCAAAATCCTACGACGAAACCCGAAGCCCTTATGGAAATGGAGACCTACTCATCGCATTAATAACCACTACGTACCTCTAAATATTAGGTTGTCTCATAAATAGTGTCGCTTTTTTTCAACCAAAAAATTTTCATCTAAATCCTCATGCTTTTACATCGAGTCATATACCATTCGAAAGAGAATTGTCTGCTCTACAAAATATCGTGTTCTTCTTCCATCTATGTTCCATGGTTTTCAAATTTTAAGCCTGTGAAATGGGAGGTCCCGCCGACAAAAATTGACCAAACCGACAACTAGCTCTAACTTTATGTTCCCTTCGGAGAAATCAATCAATGATGTACCCTCTACTTACTCATGACCTCTTCTGAACATTCCACCCTTAGGTTGCCGAAAAAGGTTTGCCCTGTTTCTTTTCGAATTGGCCAACCGATAAGTCATGGCAATTTTCAAATTGAAATTCTTCCTCTGAAACGCTATTGTTTTATATCAACTGGTATATCTTTTGTGAGCACTTCTTCTGCTTTATTCGCTCATTTGTTTTGTTTTGATGTTTGTTAGGAATTAGCTCGAATTTTAGGGTTTAGGAGTAAGGTGCTTTGTCCACAAAAGTGACCGCATTTCTTTGAAAGAAATTATCCTTGAGGAGATGAGAAAACCAACCAGGCGTACATTCCTAACTTAGTCACGACTTGTTCTTGAAATTCTACTAGTTTTTCAATGTCTCGGCTGTAAAAAAATTTCGACCTCGATCTCAGGTAATGGTGCTCAACCGTCGAGTTCTGGTTGAAAAACCGGGTCTGGAAATGGAATGACGCGACTTGTTGGGAAACCTAATAGTGTAATGTTTAGAAGAGGTCATGCATAAGTAGAGGGTACATCATTGATTGATTTCTCCGAAGGAACATAAAGTTAGAGCTAGTTGTCGGTTTGGTCAATTTTTGTCGGCGGGACCTCCCATTTCGCATGCCTCAAATTTGAAAACCATTGAACATAGATGGAAGAAGAACACGATATTTTGTAGAGCAGACAATTCTCTTTCGAATGGTATATAACTCTCTGTAAAAGCATGGGGATTTAGATGAAAATTTTTGGTTGAAAAAAAGCGACACTATTTATGAGACAACCTAATAGAAACTAGACAGGCCAGTCCCAAATAATCAACGGCAAGTGATTTGTCTT